TCCTTTTATTCTTTTCAACTATTTTTTTCTAAAGACCCAAGTAGCATCCTGTAACTATGCCCTTATCAGTGGTTAGCTAAAGACTAGATGGGAGCCCTTTGGCAGTTCTCGCCCCACATTTCTCCCTTCCTTGGTATGCTTCCTGAGAAATCCTGACCTACTTATCTCTCAGCTCTGCTGCTTCAACACAACGTGACCACCAAGCTCTACCTATCTTCCTCTGCCTGTTCTGCTTCACGCAAACTTTCTTCAGGCATTAATCTGAATCAGAGGTAGGGCCAACACCAGGTGTTTCCTGTCTCAGAGGAACAATTGCCCTTCCGTGCTTGCTACCTGATACCTTGAGAACTCTTTATTTATTTTGTCCTGTTTCTCAACTGTTTTAGTTAGCGAGGTAAATTGAATCACTGTTTGCATAACCAACCATCCAAGTTTGCCCAGGTCTGCCCCAGTTTTGGCACTGGGAATCCTGCATCTGGAAAATCTCTTCCTCTTGGTTATACCAGGACTCTTGGTCACTCCACTAGCCATCTTTGGTGGATGAGAAAGGCATAGACACACACACACACACACACACACACACACGCACCTTCAAAATATTTACCATTGAAAACAAAACTAATAGAAGTATATTGTCAGTTTCATAACATATTATATAGTAATAAGATACTGATACCATATGTGAAAGATAGCACTACTTAAATGTGGATTGTGATAAGTTAAAGATGCATGTTGTAAAGCTGAGTGCAATAACCAAAAAGAAAGAAAATGCAATCCATAACCCAGTACATTAAATGAAATGAAACTGTGAAATATGAATATACGAATCATATGCTCAGCTAACCCAGTGGTTCTCGACCCGTGGGTTGCAACCCCTTTGGGGTTCAAATGACCCTTTCACAGGGGTCACCTGATTCATAACACTAGCAAAATTACAGTGATGAAATAACAACAAAAATAATTTTACGGGTTGGGGGAGAGGGGGTCACCACAACATGAGGAGCTGTATTAAAGGGTCGTGGCATTAGGAAGGTTGAGAACCACTGGCCAAAACCAAAGAAAAGTGAAAAAGAGATAAACAGTAAGAAGAACAGATGGGAAATATAGAAAACAAACAGCCAGCTGGTCAATTGAAGTCAGCCATATTGATAATTGCCTTTCTCTTAAACAGCCCAAACTCTCTAATTTAATGTGGAGATGGTCAAATTGGATTAAACGGGAAGCCTAGCAATGTGCTATATGTAAGAAACATATTTTACATATGATGATATTCAGAAAGTACAAATATGGAAACAGATACTGATCCTGAAAACACCAGTCAAAATCAATTAGTACATAGAGGAAATTTCAGTACACTAAATGCTTTTGTAGGGGAAAAAACAAGATTAATTATCTAAGTTTCTATCTTGTAAAGTTAGAAAAAGGAGAGAAAGTTCAACCTTGTATAAGTGAAATGGAAATGAAAGTAGAAGCAAATAAAATGTAAGATGGATAAATAATAGGAAAAAAGCCAATGAAACAAGCAGCTGTTTATAGAATAAATGAAAATTCTCAACCCTCTAGCAGGCTGCTCAAAACAAACTCAAAATATCACCATTTACAATTAAGGAAGAAACATTAGCCAAAACTCTATAGGTAGCAAAGCCATAATAACATATTCTGAACACTCTATGTCGATAACTTCTAAGACAAACGTGACAAAGTCCTTGAAAGACACAATACCACACTCACTGGTGAAGAACTGGGAGAATGAAGTCGTCTCGTTTCTGCTAAATAAAATCAATCCGTCGTTAAATACAGTTCACAATGAAAAGCCCAGTGTAGATGTCTTCATCCTTAAACCCTACTAAACATATGAGGAAGAAATAATAACAGCTCTGCACAATGCCAACGCATTCGGTATTATCTACAGGACAAAGCTGTCCTTTCCCCACTGCCCTGCAGTGCCAACTTGGTCATTCACGGGGTGACCATACGTGTGTGGGTCTCTGGCTATAATTTCTACCCTGTTTCATTGACCTATTTGCCCATGCTTGCACCAATTCTATACTAATAATTATAGATGTATCATAAATGCTGATGGCTGGTAGTCATTAAACTTTCTATTTTTTTCTTGATTTCTGAATAGTCAATAAAAGAAGAGGAGGATGCCAGTCAGAAACATCCAGAGGGCACCTTTAGTTACAAAGTTCACTATCTCTTCCACACCAGTAATAAACAATCTGAAAAGGAAATTAAGAAAACAATTCCATTGACGATAGTACCTAAAAATATATATATATATAATACCTAATAGTACCTAAAAATAAATATATATATATATATATATATGGCACCTCAAGATATTATCCTGTGTGAAATAAATCCATCGCAAAAGGACAAATTTTGTATGACCTCACTCATATAAAAAGTCAAGAAAAAGTAAATTGAATAGACCAAAGTGGTGACCAAGGGTGGGGAGATAAGGAAATTATCAGTGAAGAAAAAGAAAATCATGTTGATTAAAGGTAGATAGCACAGCGAGTATTACTGCAATTGCTGTCCAAAACTTATAAATCTATAAAAATCTGAATTGGCAAAAAATAAAAGCACATAAGAATAAATCTAATGAGAAGGGTGTATGTTATACATTGAAAACTCTAAATTATTGCTCAAAGAAATTTAAAAGCATCTACAATAAAAAACAAAAAACAATCCCTGGTTATGGGATAGACAATTTTACTTGCTGAAATGTTGATTTTCCTGAAATTGATCCAACGATACAAAGTAATCCCTATGAACATCCCCACAAGTTTTGGGCAGAAATGGGAAAACTGATTTTCAAATTCAAATGGGATGAGAACACACCCTAAGTAGTAAAACATATCTCCAGGGTGGGGTGGGAGTGCAGAGAGAAGAAAACAGGGGCTTTAAACCTCCCAGTCTCAAAATGCACTCTACAAAGTTACAGTAATTTTAAAAGCATAGCATTGGTAGGAGGATAGTTACATTTACCAATAGAGTAGAATGGAAAGTCCAGAAATAAACCCACACAGTGTGGTCAACTGAGTCTGAAAAGGGGCCTGTGGAAGTTGGATGGTTCTATGCCAAGCAGGCCTCTTGCTTAGGGGTGGAGTCAAGCCACACCTCCGCGGGGGGTGGGGGGGTGGCCTTTTCTAAGAGAGTGAGGGACCCTGGGAAGTCACGGTGTCTCTCTATCTCCATCTCTCTAGCTCTCCTCCCCTCCCTGCTTGCCTCCCCTTCCTGCTTTCTGGAGCTCTACAACCAACCCTGATAGATGTAGGGTCTCCGGCCTGTTCCCATGGACTTCAGACCCAGGCCTGTGATCTTCCTGCTTCCACGGCACCAGCAAGTGGCTACATGCGTCTGAAGAGGCCCCTGGCTGGCATCCAACCTGTGGGCTTGAGTTGGACGATGCTAGGATGCCATTCTTTTGACATGACATACTTTTTGACATAAAGCTCCTCTACATATGGGAGTGTCACTGGATTTGTTTCTCAGACTTCCCACCCTCACACAGGAACCAAGACTGTTTAGGGGGAAGACAGAGTCTCAACAAGTGGTGGCAGGGAAATCTGACCTCCCCATGCAGGAGAACAAAGTTGGACCCGACCTCAAATCATAAGCTACAATTAACTCAAAATGGATCCATGACAAACCATAGGGTTTAAAACCATAAACCTCCTAGAAGAAAATGAAAGTTTTCAGGACATTATTTTCACAAGGGATATTAGTTATGGCACCAAAAGCACTAGCAACTGAGGAAGAAATAACTGGAACTTAACCTGAACTGAAACTTGTGCATCAAAGAAAGGTCTTTGTCATGGAAGTGAAGAGCCAACACACAGAACGGCATGTGGACGGCATCATACATGAAGGGAGCCAAAGGTCACTGAAGAAGACAGGACAGGAGGGAAAGGCCAGAGGGATCTCAGGACAGACTCACACTTGTCTCCCCCTTCCTTGCTTTAGTTTTCATTAGCACCATCGAAAGGATCTTTGGGATGGGGCGGTACACACTCAGCTAATAACCAGCAGGGCCATTTAGAGGACTTCAATGAGATAACAGTGGGGGGGTATCATCACTTGAGGAACACTGATATCAGAGAGGGTTAAAGACTTGACTGCTAACTTCAAGGTCAGCGGCTCAAATCTTCCAGCTACTCCCTAGAGAAAGAAGACGCTATCTGTACTTGCATAGGTGTGCAGTCTTGGAAACCCTAAGGACCAGTTCTCCTCTACCCTATGGAGTCCCTGGGAGTCAGAAACAATTCAGTGGCGGTAGTGTGGTTTGACTTTTTGGTTACCATCATCTAGCTGTCTAGTTGTTTACCTGTCTACATGGGTGTATGCACATAATTTTACTAGTGATAGTTAGAATGTTTCGTTAATGAGATTAGTCTAATTTTTTAACTGTTGGGTCTCTAAAATCTAAATCAGTCCTTGATATATTGTAGGCACTCACAAAAGTATGTTGCACTAGTTAATATCTCAAGGGTAGTTTTAACTCAGATAAGAACAGATACCTTAGGAGATGATGTCTGAGAAAATGACTTTCAAAACTGAATGACAGTGAACAACACTGACAATTCTCAAGGTGAGGCCACATATCTACATCATAGCTGTTCTGTAGAACATTCCCATAATTATGATTGGCATAAAGATTGACTGGATGCAGACTTCTTTCAATTCTAATATAATATAATATTTAAGGAATAAAAGACTATACAGCAGGGTAGAATCTTTTTCCCTCTTAACAGGTCATCTGAAAGACACCATATCACATCATTATATGCCATGCACCTGGTGGGCCTATTTCATCACTCCAAGGAGAGTAAGAGCACCTACACGATACATATAACGTAAGAAAGGTTTCCAAATTTGAAATTGAAGTCTCATTTTCTTTTTTCTTTTTTTTAAGTATTTATTGCAAGAAAGGAAAAATCCTTCTTGGTTCATAGAGGCAGAAGCTAAAGTTGGTTTAATTATACTTTTATTACCTGGGCACTGGATAAAGGACCATTCATAGTACTTTTCTTTGGGACACAGACTGGTGTCAAGAACCATCTCACTGCTGTGCATCCCAACAAGCTTCATTGGTCCCCGGGAGGCCCCTTCCATGCAGTATCCTCTTCCTGTGTTACTGGGGTCATTGCACCAGCCACATCCAGGCTGTTCCAAACACTGTCCGCACGTCCTTAATCCAGAACAGTTTTGCGCTGCGTGAGAAAAAGAACAGTTTATGAGGATTACAACCCATGTCATGAAACAAAACGCCCACGAATTGTTGAACGAAAAACCAATCTGCTCTATAAACTTACACCCAATTCCCAATCAACGGTACTACTAAGAGAAATGAATATAAATGTAAGAAGAGAAAGACTACTAGGAGAAGACTGTGTTGTGGACAGGAATAGTAGTATTAATATTAACCTATTACTTAAATAGATAGTAGGGTGGACCAAAAACATGCTAGTAGGGCTCATATATGCAGGGCTTAGTGCAAAAAACCCATGTTTACATATGTCTCTGCAGCCAGTGGATGGCTGCACACAAGCTCTCCCAATAATACACTTGTCTTAGTCTGATGAGGACAGCTTCCCCACAGAAAGCACTAAGTAAAACAGGGGCTGCCGGGGGACTCTGCTGGGCCAACTCAGTTAAAGGCAGTGGGGCCAACTCATACAGGTGATGGCAACCTGCCCAGGGACCCTCAAGGGGGTAATCGTGGCAGCTTTTCTTGAAGGACAGCCGTGCGAAGAAGTATGAGGAAATGGAAAATGGCCTCAGTGGAGACAGTTGCACCGAGGAATACTTTCCCCTCACACCAAGCTCCTTCTCCTTCTTCAAGGGTAGCCACAAGAGCATTCCCACAAGGATCATGTGGAAAAACTACCCCACCAACCCTATAGCCCTGACTTTGTCCCTCCAGATTATTTTTGTTCCCAAAAGTCAAAGGGCCTTCATAAAGGACTATGTCCTGAGGCTCTCGGTGACTCAATGCCGCCATATTGGCATGTGCAAACCAAGGAACGCAGAAGTCTCTGGGGAAAGGCTAGTGAGATAGAAACTCCACCTTCTGGATCTACAGGCAAGATCTGGCAAGAAACTGTAACTTCATGTTTGGATATTCTTGCTCATTAGGGTGTCTCTTTGATTTTGTAGCTGTCCTTTTTGACTGAGCTTCATACATGTAGTCTCTCTCTGACTGTTGCAATGACAGCCCCGTAACAAAAGCACACCAAGCGCAGACCACTCACTCACTGCCTTGGCGTCACTTTTGACTCAAAGTGATCTTGTCGGCCCGAGAACTGCCCCCAAGGGTCTCTGAGTCTGTGAGCCTCTATGGAAACAGAAAGCCTCATCTTTCTTCTGCAAAGCAGCTGGTGGTTTCAAACTGCTGACCTGACGGTTAAGGTTAGCAGCCCAGCATATAACTCAGTGCTCGATCAGGACTCTCTCGAGCTCATAGATATTGGAATCTAAGCTCATTCTTCATGCAAAGAAACAAATGCTCATTGGAGACACTGTCATCAGGCTAGAGAAAAGTACCAAGGACCGAAACACTCATGTCTGTCAGACAGAAGGAAATGCACACACAAAAATACTGGAAACAAGCAACTATTCTAAAGAGGCTCCCACTGGACCAAACCCCAAAGAATCTCAGCAACAAAAACACTAATACAAATAATGGACTGTCCCCCACTGCCATCAAGTCAACATCACTCTCCGTGGCCCCATGTACGGTGTCTGGGACTAGAGAGTTTTACAGGGCAGAGAGGCTCCCCTGTCTTCTGCAGAGCGCACTGGAGGCTCTGAACCACTGACCTCGCGGTTAGCAGTCCAGTGCTTACCCAACAGAGCCACCAAGGCTCTGTCTAGATAAAAGGCACTAAAACAGAGGTTCTCAACGTCTGGGTCATGACCCCTTTGGGGGTCAAATGACACTTTCACAGGGGTCGCCTAACACCACCAGAAAACACATATTTTCAATGGTCTTAGGAACCGTGACATGCTCCTCTATGTCTCCAGGCGGGTCCGCCCACATGCAGATATGCCCACGCGAGTACCTGGCATGAAGACTCATGCTACATCATGCTTCAAGACAACATTTCATTTATTTGTCATTAGAAATAAATATTTCACAATATATAATTACATATTGTCTTTATGATGAATCACTATGCTTTCATGATGTTCAATTTGTAACAATAAAAATACATCCTGCATATCAGGCATTTACATGACAATTCATAACAGTAGCAAAATGACATTTATGAAGTAGCAACAAAAATAATTTTATGGTTGGGGTCACCACGACATGAGGAACTGCATTAAAGGGTCGCAGCATTAGGAAGGTTGAGAACCACTGCACTAAAAGGATTTGCAAAGAATAAGATGTGACCCATGAAATACGCACTTTTGTGAACTGTCTATAGCACCTACCCAGAGTTCAGAGGGGAAGTTCAAATGTGGCACAATGTTTACACTGCAGGCAAGTTTATGTAATGGGCTCCTGAGTGATTGGTACAAAGACAAGTTCAAGGCTAACAGCATGAATAGGTCTTCAAGGCAAGTAACACAATATTTCGTCCCTCCTACTTCCCTAGACACGGAATAGTGCGATGTGTTTGTGACACACGGAACGTCATTGAAGCACACACTCACGGGAGCAGGTGGCAGTCTGCCACTCCAGGCACTGCCCGTATGGGAACGAGATGATGTAGGCGTTGGAGTCGACACACCGCTTGGTGCTGCTGCACCACATGCACTCCATGCCGTTGCTCGTGCAGTTGGGGCACGACGTCCTGAGAGAGCATGGCTTCTTGCATGGCCTTGCATTTTGATTTGGACTAACTGGAATAAACCAACACAGACCATGAATGATTTCATCTGTTAACTCTACTTTAACAGGAGCACATGGGTTTTATTGGTTTTGTTGTTTAGAGAATTTTTCAATGGAAGTCCCAAGTGAATCCCATAAAAAAAAATTACAGTATGGAGTAAATGAAAATAAAAGCTATGTCAATATTTAAGTTTATGACAGTGGAGACTATGCAGTCCCTTGGGAATTTTTACCCTTTACAAAGTGCCTGTCCTGTTGCACAATCTAAAAATTATAAATGACTTATTATTCATGACCTAGTGAGCTGGCCCATTACTACATAGAATGGCATTATTTTCATTTTTAGCCACAGTATTTTCTATAAATATTCCACAGCTTAGCCTTGACCTAGTCTATTAGCTGAGTACGCTTAGAGGGTGCCCTTATTTCCGTTCTAGCCGCAATGTTTTCCATAAAGATTCTGCACCTTATCTACGTAGATACCCTGTCAGTGAACTTAGGAATGTCTCTCATGTGAACAAGAAATAAAAATATAAAAACTGACTACAAAATTGACTGTAAACTATAACATTTAAAGAGAGATTTCAAAGCTATTCCTTCTCCACTTAACAAAAATCCATCTCAAAGAAAGTCCCAGAAATGTTGGATTCCTTTTCATTCTCAACTGAAATGATAATAATCTACATGATTAAACCTTTCTCAATCACTTCTGAACCTGGGAGCAATCTATTTTTAAAACACCATAGGGTAAGTAAAAAGGAACAATTTAGGAAACAATTCTTCCTATACAGTAACTAACGCATACCACTCTTTCGAGCAAGAAATACAGAGTGTACAAAACAACAACAAGTGTTTTTCACCAATGAATGCTGAGCTGAACGCTGAGATCGTCAACGTGAGTGGGACACTTAGGCGACGTATTATATTTGTAAAGAACCACTGCTTTTCTGAGCGACTTACCGATGGGCTTTTCACAGACAAGGCCGTCTGCCATTGAGGTACAAGGATTCACTTTTAAACCTGCCACCGCAGCCCTCTCTAGATAGGCACAGAATCCGGAATCGTTTGGTTCCCCAGGAAGCCACTGCAGGGTTGTGTTTGTAAAAGGAGACATGTCTTCCCATCCCCAGTAGGAGATATTGATCTTGCGCAAGCCGACCCAAGGCGACACCTTCTGTGAGCAAGACGAAAGGGGAATTGGAACGCTCGATGAAAACACACGGCATCACATGCCTCGGGCAAACACCTCAGTATCGTGAAAAATTACGTTTGGAAACATTCTGCTGTGGGTTAGGAGCCGTGAATGGGTTCCCGGGCACAGTGACCCTAGTCCATCAGAGGGAGGCAGCGTGTGGCTCGGCGCCGTCCTCACGGGGTTGTTAGGTTTGGGCCCACTGTTGCGGCCACTGGGTCAGTTCATCTTATTGGGGGTCTTCCTCCTTTTCATTGACCGTCTACTCTGCCGAGCAAGAGGCTTGGAAGGATAGAAAACCGCCTTTCTAGTGACTTCCAAGAGAGAGAACAATTCACAATCCCGCCACACTTTTGAAGATGCCACAGAATTAAACAGGTTCTAAAAACCTAAGTCTTGAATCTGACGATAAGGTTGAAACCACGATTTTAGCATCTGTAAGCCTGTCTCTTCTATAAAATGGAAATATCAATGCTATAAATTTCTATCTTATGAGGCAAAAATTCCTTTTTAAAGAAGAAGAGACATAGCAAGATGCCATTATTACTGCTACTACTATTACTAGAATAGTCCGTCATGGGTTAAGAAGTCTAACGATAAATTGCTGTCATCAGCGGGATGGTAGCGTAGTGGTCATGCATTGGGCTGGTAACTGCAAGGTCAACAGTTCAAAACCACCAGCCAATCCACAGGAGAAAGACAGGGCTTTCTGAAGAGTCCCGGTCTCGGACACCCACGGGGGAGGTTCTACTCTGTCCTACAGGGCTGCTATGAGTCAGCATCGGTTCAGTGGCAATGAGTGAGGTGAGGTGCCGTGTGGGAAAACAGGAAACAAAACCAGCACACAGAAAACAGATCTGAGAGAAAGATTCACAACAAGCTCACAAGAGTACTGAGAGGTAGACTGCCTCGCTCCTACTTCAGGCCTCTAAACACGACCTTGGAACGTTCGTGTAAATTTAGGTGGACTGACACTTCCTCTCAGTAAAAGAGAGAGGAGATCGGAAAAGTCACTGGCTCTTGTGCTCAGAATCCTCGGCGAGCTAACAAAGGTTGAGGCACACCACTAAACATTCGGAGGGCTCTCAGCAATGTTTCAAAATTAGCATGAAAACAAACTCCAGTCAATATTTATATTTCTTCTTTTAATTATTATTTAAGTTTAAAAATATGAAAATCTTTTGGTATGCAAAAATGATGATATATTCTGGGTCCAGCCTATTCTCCTTACAAAATAATATATTCAATCTTCTCTAACACACTAAGCTACCAATCTTGTAAACCAGTGCAAAATAGTTTTAAAACTCCACTTCATCAGTTGTTTTACTTTATGGATTGTACGGGTAAAAAGAAATATGTCTCCCAACTGAACCTTTAACACCTAAAAATAAATATTTATATCAGTATTTATTCTAAATGTGTTGTACAAATAGCCAGAGAGAAGTGATAAAGATGGCCAGAGGCAAAGACATTCCCTAAAGTATTTAAGAACAATGGATTCCACACTCAACTTAGACAGTCAACAAATACTCCTTGAATAAAATTAAAATATCCTTTGAATATTCATGATGACAACAGCTCACACATCACCTAGTAGAGTGCTATGCCCATAGTAGGTCGTCAATAAATTTTGCTGCACAAAGTTCATTACAGCAAAGACAGCTATATTCCTCCATCCAGCATTATGCCTCAGACAGAGAATAAATAATGGTTCTAATTATAAAAATACACACGCTGTTTCACATAGTGATCATCGTATATTTAAGACATTATTCTCAAAGATATTTTGATAACAAAAAAGCTATAGCATTTTTACAACCCTTGATAATAACAGCAGGAGTCAATAAACATAGATTATTTCAGATTAATGATGGTGCTTCACATTACAGCAACTCTGCCTATATTTCCAAACTATCTATAGGAAAGACAAGTCACTTAAAATGAAATATTACTCCCTAACTCATCATGATAAGAATCTGAGGAAAAAGAGAGGAAGAGAAAAATGAAGTCGTTGATAAAACATTTAAAGTAACTATTACTTAGTAAATGAACTGGACAGGGCCGTTGAAAATGAAAGATAAATTATTATATTATAAAAATTCACAGCACTACACCATAAATCATTGGAACATTTCATTAGCCATTCCCGATGAAGTAAATGATCATTTGACCCAAGATAGCGCTTTAAAGTGTATTAATTGGTCCATCTTTATTTGCCAGGGGACGGTTATCTTGAGTTTATGCAACCACACTAACTCCAAATGTAACTCATTTCACATCAGGAGAGGTTTAATGGAATGTCGCCTTGCAGAAGCTTCCACCTTAAAAATCTTACTGAATCTCTGTTTTCTGGTGAAACAGAACATTCTTCATTTCCAGGGCATGTTGGTCAGCAGACGCTCCAGTTTAAGTTCATCACACATTCAAAACAGTGGCTCGTCCATCTCTGTGATTTATAATAGCAAACCAGAAAGATGAACCACACACCCAAGAAATCTTGAAGCAGGAAACTTTTCAAAATAGCACATCTCAAGGTTAAAGGGTAAGAACAAAACCAATGTATTTGGCATTGGCCTCTCCCTTCACCAAATAATAGGGGAGCTTCACTAACCACCTATTTAAAAAAAAAAAAAAAATATGAAACCACTCTAGTGCTAAATACTAACACATTTTCAAAACCATAGAAAGGGGATCTGCCCATAACAATCTTTTAATAAGTGACAGGGACTGTAGATCTAATTTCCACATGTTCATTGGTAACTGCCCTTCATCTGTCTCAGCTACGAGTACATAGTAAGAACATAAGGTGGGGAAGCATGCACATGTGCCATATGTTCAAAAACAAACTTTACAAATATACTTTGACCTTTTTTCTCAAAGATTACAAAAAATCAATAGGCTTCACCTACATGCTACCACATTCCTCTCATTCTCCGTCATAGTGCCTCTTAAGAAACGAAAATAACAAACAAACCCATTGCTATCAAGTCGGCTATAACTCACAAGGACCCAAAAGGACAGAGCAGAACTCTCCCCTAGTGTTTCTCAAAGGCTGCACATCTTAAAGGAACACAGAGCATTAAATGGACTCGAACTGACGACTCTGACTTACAGTTAGAAGCCCAACTAGCAATCCACTAAGCCACCAAGGCTCCCCAGCACCTCAAGTAGTTCTCAAAGAAGACAAGATAGGAAAATTTAGGAGCTTCATCTACCACCCTACAAATATCCCTATGTACTTCTGGCACCCCAAGTTTTGTCAAGCTTAACTATGGAATTCATCTCCGAAACTCACAGGAAGTGCACGTTGCTGGTCAGATGTCCCATAATCTTTCCTCATGCATCACTTTGTGCGCATCTATCACTGCAGTGATAATTATCATTGTGTTTGACTCTCTCCCCACTAAACTCTTTGAGAACCCAAACCCACTGCCACCAAGTCCAGGGGACTCCTAGCAATCCTGCAGGACACAGTGAAGCTGCCCCACAGGACCTAGCAGTCTGCCAACCTATGCACCAAAGCACACTGCCTCACCTTCCTCCCCAGACATGGCTGGTGGGCTCCAACCACCAACCTTTAAGCTAGTAGCCTGAGGATTAACCCACTGTGCCACTACACTGCCCTCTTCTTCTAAAATAACAAGTTACTCTCTTTCCACCAATATCTTCTGAACAAGTAAGAGAGCTAAGTACTTTGAACGAGCTCAATAAGTTTAGAGGGGCCTGCCAACAAGCCCAGAGAGGAGGGAAGAATAAGTGATCTAAAATCGATGGCAAGGAGGGCATAGGATGCTAGCGAGGGGTGGGGAGTGGGGTGGCGGGGGGCAAGAGCAAGGGCAATGTAGCCAGGAGAAATTACCAAAACACAAATGAAGGCCAAACATGACAGTGGGGCAGGGAAAAAGTAAAAGTAAATAGAGGAAAGAACTGGGAGGCAAAGGACATTTACAGGCATGTATATATTTATATATAATGATAGGGGAATAGATCTATTTACATATATTTATTTATAAGGTATTACAGCAGCAGATGGACATTGGGCCTCCATTCAAGTACTCCCTCAACACAAGAACAATTTGTTCTACTAACACGGCACTCTATGATGTTCATGACAAGATCGCTGCAGACGAAATGGGTGCATAAGCAAATGTGGTGAAGAAAACTGATGGTGACCAGCTAGCAAAAGATATAGCATCTGGGGTCTTAAAGGCTTGAAGATAAACAAGCAACCATCTAGCTAGGAAGCAACAAAGCCCACATGGAAGAAGCACACCAGCCTGTGTGATCATGAGGTGTCCATAGGATCATGTATCAGGCATCAAAGACCCAAAACAAAACAAACAAACAAAATATTATCAATGGGAATGAGGGGGAGGGCAGAGTGGAGACCCAAAGCCCATCAGTAGTCAATTGTACACCCCCTTTCAGAAGGGCCACAAGGAAGAGATGAGCCAGTCAGGGTGCAGTTATAGCACCGACGAAACATACAACCTTCCTCTAGTTCTTTAATGCTTCCTTCACTACCACCCTACCACCCCCACTATCATGACCCAATTCTATCTTACAAATCTGCCTAGACAAGAACATGTACACTGGTACAGATAAGAGCTCGCAACAAAGGGAATCCAGAACAGATAAAGCCCTCAGGCCCAATAAGGGTAGCAGCGATACTAGGAGGGTAAGGGAAGGGTGGGAGGAGTAAGGGGTAACTGATCACAATAATCGACGTATGGTCCCCCAACCAGGGGGACAGACAGCAGAAAAGTGGGTGAAAGGAGACAGCAGTCGGTGTACGACATGAAAAGAAAATTAGAAGAATTTATAAATTATCAAGGGGACATGAGGGAGGGAGGGTAGAAGAGAGAGGGAAAAAAATGAGGAGCTGATACCAAAGGCTAAAGTAGAAAGAAAATGTTTTGAAAAAGATGATGACAACATTATGTACAGATGTGTTTGACACAATGCATATATGTATGGCTTGTGATAAGAGCTGTAAGAGCCCCCAATAAAATAAAATTTAAAATGTACTAAATGAGTAAAGACAGGTTTCTCCCCTTCCCAGAAAAAGAACCAGTTTACACAAATATTATTTTAGACTATTTTTCCATATAAATTAAACTAATAGAATGTTTTTTACCCTGTTAATCTTCACCACATAAAAATTATTTTATATGTCTAAGAATCATATTACCATATCCATCTCAAAACATCTAATCTGAAAAATTTATCTTTTTTTAACTAAGAAGATTTGGTACCTAAAAGAGTTATGTGCATTAGAAATTAGATTATCTATTAGTGATACTCATAAGAAAAACTTTCAATGTCATCACAAAAATTAGGATCGAAATTAACCATAAACTTAATCTTTATATAAAAATTTTCAAAAGGAATTGTCTTTAAAGTTCTTACAGGGTATTGTGCAAATGTACATAACTGTTCTTATACAATCCTATAAAAATCAGATGCATACGCTGCTGTTACTGACATAAGGAAAATCAGTGACATGTCTTCGTATTCTTGAGCAGAAAGCAGAAGTGCTTATTATCTCTTTATGTTCACCTGTACAGATGATACGCCATGAAGAAGACACAGCACACCGCGAGTACATTAAAGGAAACGGTGCTGGGTGGCATGGTGTCTGGCTGTGTAGATTATGGATAAAAACACAGGATTCAGCCATGCGTAGCAGAAGTGATTTTAAGAGTTCAAAAGGCCTACTCCAAAATTCAAGTTGGGAAGAAGCTTATTAACCACACAAAAATTAAAATCCATGCCAAGGGCAAATATTTTTCCACCATCAATATCAGTATTAATTAAGTAATCATCATAAGTGTTAGGTAGCTCAAAACCTAAAACTCACTACCATCAAGTTGATGCCGACTTATAGTGATCCCATAAGACAGGACAGACCTGCCCCTGTGAGTGTCTGAGACTCTTTACACGAGTAGAAAGCCCCATCTTTCTCCCGAGAATTAGCTGGGTTTACATAACATACAGAACAAGTTCTCTGCCAATTGGTTTTTGTAATCAGTTACACATTTATTTCCAAGATTTACTAGAATCATGTATTAAAAAAGAAAAGCAATGAATTATTTCCAAGAATTATAGACTACTGCAGCACATATTATAATTCACCATGAAGTTGTTACCTGTTGCGTATACTTGTGTATTTCATCCAGAACAAATTCTACTTCCTTTGAGGTTGTCAGGGAAGCGAGGTTTCCACTCAGATTGTAACAGTACAGTTTGGCACTGTCGTAGCTCTCTCTACTGGCGTTGATTCTGAGACAAGCATCTCCGATATGGCTCCATCCTTCTCCACAAAGATGGGCTAAAATTAAAAAAAAGAAAACATGTACCATATTTTTAGGTTTCAAAAATATACATATGACTTTCAGTTATTTCAGAAAAAAACATTACTTTTGTGTTTCTTTAAGCAATTTCTAAAAAATCAAGCATTTTAAAATATTCAAAAAATAATTCCTAAGAAAAGTGTGTCAAATAGTTTGAAGGCAAATAAAACCAGATGTTATTTTTTCCCCTCTAATTCGTAAGCACGAGACAAGCTAAAGAGTTCTACCAATCTGTTAAAATGTACTGACTGCACATGCTAGGTTTTCAGTGGAAAGACTACTGTACTGGCATTTGGTATCTTAAAGCACTCTTATGTTTGTATCCACTCCCTTGTTTGTGTGTTCGTCTCTGCTTTACATAAGACAAGATTACGTTCCTAGAAAAAACAACTAGCATATAACAAAAGAACTGTCATCCTGATCAAAAGGGGGGAAATACAGAACAGAAGTCCAAATTCTGACAGAATCCCGACTTCTCCAAGCCGCGAAGGTTGGTTAAGTCCCTGAAACTACTGTCTTGAAGTAATCTAAGAACACAAACTAGTCCCTGAAATCTTGTGAGAGCCAAATCACAGTCAAGCTCAACTAGCTCGTGTTGTTGCTTTTTGAAAGCCTTGAGCAGCACGCTGTTTTAAGAACTATCTATGTCGGACCACGCTGACGATCACCTGAAGACTGGACATGTTTATATTAAAGGTGGACAAACAACTCTGCAAATGGGGAGAACGGGTGCCTAAGTCACTAGGTGGTAAATGTGGCCACCTGAGTTCATGTCTGTTCTTCTGTGCATCTTTTTAACAACAAAATGAATATAAAAAACATGACTTTCAGTTATTCCCACAAGGGTATCTAACTGTTCCCCAAATCTGATTCCACAGCCCTGTCGGCTTTTCTACTATAAGTTAGGGCCTTTGGTTGTTTAATCAATTCTAACTATGACCAGAGATGCCTCGTGTCACCTGGGTTTGGTCAAGAACCTTTAGGCTTTGCTTTCTAGTGTTTATTTTTACAGGTTTTTCTAAAAGCTAAGCTTAATTTCTGTGGTAGTGGCTTATTCTTCGAAAGCCCACAGTGAACTTAAATAAAGTCTACTTTATTTCAGGTTATGCTCCAATGTGCGCTAACAAACAACGTAGAGTTTCATTAATGTAGCCATCCATAAAGTGAGACTGGACTTCCGTTTCTTCCCTACATGAAATACGAAGGGACATCAGAAAGTTCATTGGAGAACAGAGTGAAAAAGAAAGTGGGATTTTCCATGAGCTTTTTGAAGTTCTCTTGTATAGGAATGTCTCTTTCCTCTCTGCTTGGGCTTATGAGCGCTAGTGCAAACTGCGTGGAATTGTCAAAGGCGCTGCTCTTCAGACTTCTTGACCTCCACAGCCCCTTGACTCTCAAAGATGACTGAGGAGTCCAAAGATACTTCCTGCTGTTCCATGACTAAAAGGAAAGCTGATCCTCTAAAATATTAACATATTCATTTATTTAAAATAAAATTTTAAAACCCTACTACAAGTTAACATAACTGGCACATTTTACTTTTAAAAGATAAGAAGTAAAACCAACAGTGGAACAGATACATGCACACTCACGTTTGCAACACGGCTCCCAAAAGCAACCTGAATGCCCATCAGTGGAAAATGGAATAAATGAACTCTGGTGTACCCACGTAATAGAATACTATAAAGTATTTTTATTAGAAGAATAATAATGTTGATGAACTATGAAGCTAAAGAATAATGATGAGAAGGGTCACAAGGAAGGGATGAGTCAACCAGGCGCAGTACAGCACCAAGGAAACACACGGTATTCCTCTGGTTCCTTGAGGCTTCCTCACCCTCCACTATCAACGACCCTGATCCTGCCTTTCACTGCAGGCCAGACTGGAGCATGCACACGTCTAGACACAGAGACACACAGAATCCAGACCCAGGAATAGGAGTAGCGATGCCAGAAGGGCAGGAGAAAGGTAAGGAGAGGAGGGGG